GACCATGTGAAGACACAGTGTGGAAAGAGGATTGTCTACAAGCCATAGAGAGAGGCCTCAGAAGAAACCAGCCCTGCCAGCACCTTTATTGAAGACCTCCAGAACTGCAAGAAATAAATGTCTATTGTTTAAGACACCTGGTCTGTGGTTTGTCCTGGTGGCCCCAGCAAATGAATACATTGTCCTTTTGTGACTAGTTTATTTTATTTAGCATTAATATTCTGAAGACTCATCTGTGTTGAAGGATGTATTAAAATTCCTTTTTTTGGCTGGATAATATCCCATCACCTAGATAGGCCACATTTGGTTCTTCTGCTCATCTGCTGATGAGCACCTGGGTTGTTTCCACCTTTTGGCTTTTGATTTATTTTTAAAGATTTTATTTATTTATTCATGGTAGACACAGAGAGAGAGAGGCAAGACACAGGCAGAGGAAGAAGCAGGCTCCACGGCAGGAGCCTGATGTGGGACTTGATCCCGGGACTCCCGGATCATGCCCTGGGCCAAAGGGAGGCGCCAAACCACTGAGCCACCCAGGGATCCCCCTCCCTTTTTTTTTAAGATTGTATTTATTTATTCATGAGAGAGAGAGAGGCGGAGACACAGTCGAGAGAAGCAGGCTCCATGCAGGGAACCCGATGAAGGGACTCGATCCTGGGACTCCAGGATCATGCTCTGGGCTGAAGGCTGATGCTCAACTGCATCCCCCTTTTGTCTCTTTATTGTGCCCTTGTGACCATGCGAGGACGTGTTTGAGCCCAGATGGGGCATCTTTCTTTTTTTCTTTTAAAGATTGATTGATTGGTTGATTTTTTGATTTATTTATTTTAGACAGAGATTGTGGGGGATGGGCAGAGGGAAAGAGGGAGAATGGTAAGCAGACTCCCCACTGAGCACAGTGTCCCATGCAAGTCTTGATCCCATGACCCTGAGATCATGACCTGAGCTGAAATCAAGAATTGGATGCTTAACTCACCGAGCCACCCAGGTGCCCCCAGATGGGGTATCTTTATTTTTTTTTATTTTTATTTTTTTTGATGGGGTATCTTTAAATCACGTGCAGTTAACTGTTTAAACTGTGCTGAGGTCACACTTTCCTCTCCTGCCCAGTTTGGCTTCTAGTGCCTTTTCCGGCCCTTCAGCCTGTGCCTTTCCCTATTCTCCTGCACAGTGCTCTGCACCCCTTCCTGGACACACCAATTCCTCTCTTGCCCTGATGACATTCTCTTGGATTGATGGGAGAAGTCAAGGCTTTTTGAGTCAGGCACATCCAGGTTCAAATTCAGACCACTCCTATGTGGTGGTGTTATGATAGCAGTCGGAGTCTTGGCCTCCTCACTGTGGAAAGGTGGTGGCATGCCCACCTCCTGACTCATGAAGCGCCTGGCCTAGAGTGGGCACATCATTGACTTTGACTTCCTCTTCTGTCCCAGGACCGAATGCTGCCTCCAACCCCTTATAGGGAGTTCCTTTCCTAGCCTTGAACATGGACAGAAAACTCAGTATTGCTATGTTAGGTTCTCCAGAGAAACACAGCCAATAGGATGTCTGTTTATAGAGAGAGGCTGTGGGGACTGGAAAGTCAAAAATCCACAGGGGAAGCTGGTGGCCAGACATTCTGGCAAGAGTGGTTTTGCAGTCTTGAGTTGGAAAGTAGTCAGAGGTAGTATTCTTTCCTCTTCTGGGGTTGGGGGAATGAGCACAGTCTTTTGTTTAAGACCTTAAATGATGGGATGAGGCCCACCCACATTATGGAGGGTGATCTGCTTCACTCAGAGTTTACAGATTAAATGTTAAGTCCTTGTAAAAAAATGTTAAGCCCTGCACAGCAGCATTCAGACTGATATTTACCAAACACCTGGGTACCATAACCTCACCAAGTTTACATGTAAAATTAACCGTTGCAGTTGGTAACTTGCCAGCTTTCTTCAGACTGGTCTATAGATTCATTGTAATTCCAATTAAAATCCAAGAAGGCCTTTAAAGATCAATTTATAGGCTGATTCTAAAATTCAAATGGATGTGTAAAGGAACTAAAATAGCCAAAATATTTATTTATTTATTTAAGATTTTATTTATTCATGAGAGACACAGAGAGACAGCCAGAGACATAGGCAGAGGGAGAAGCAGGCTCCATGCAGGAAGCCCGATGTGGGACTCGATCCCAGGACTCCAGGATTACGCCCTGGGCCGAAGGCAGGTGCTAAACCGCTGAGCCACCCAAGGATCCCCATAGCCAAAGCAATTTTTAAATATTTATTTATTTATAATCTCTACACCCAACGTGGGTCTCAAACTCATGACTTCGAGATCAAGCATTGCATGGTCATCTGAGTCAGCCAGGCAACTCCAAAACAATTCTTTTGGAGAGAGGAGAGGCAGAGAGAGAAGGAGAGAAAATCCTAAGCAGGCTTCATGATTGGTGCAGAGCCTGGGTCAGAGCTTGATTTCATGACTCTTGAGATCATGACCTGAGCCAAAATCAAGAGTTGGATGCTTAACTGACTGAGACACCCAGGTGCACCCCCCAAACAGCACTTTAAAAAAATATGTTTTATTTGAGAGAGAAAGCAAGCATGGGGAGGGGGCAGAGGGAAAAGGAGAAGCAGACTCCCTGGTGAGCAGGGAGCTGGATGCGAGGCTTCATTCAAGTTTTTTTAATATTTTATTTATTCACGAGAGAGAGAGAGAGAGAGAGAGGCAGAGACAGGCAGAGGGAGAAGCAGGCTCCATGCAGGGAGCCCGACGTGGGACTCGATCCCGGGACCCTGGGATCATGTCCTGAGCCAAAAACAAATGCTCAACCGCTGAGCCACCCAGGCATCCCCACACTACCAGATTTCAAGGATCTGTGATTAAGGAAACCACAGTAGAAAGACAGGCCAACAGAACAGAATATAGTTCAGAAGTAGCTTTACACACATATAGTCATTTGATTTTCAATAAAAGGTGCAAAGGCAATTGAATAGAGGAAGGATAGTCTCTTCCATAAATGTTGCTGGAACAACTGGATATCCACATGTGAAAATCTAAACTTTGGTGTATACCTTGCAACATATTAAAAATTATACAAAATGGATAATTGATCTAAATGTAAAACCTAAAATTATTACACTTCCAGAAGAAAACAGGAAAACATCCTGGGCATCTTGGGTTAGGCAAAGATTTCTCTGGATTTGATAAAAATTATGAACTTCTGTTTGAAAGACACTTCAGTGCATGAAGACAAGCCACCAATGGAGAGAATATTTACAAACTACATATCTGATGAAGGGCCTTTATTCAGTGTATATATAAAAAAACTATCAACACTGAATAGAAGAAAACAACCCATAAAAAGTAGGCGAAAGATTTGAACAGGCACTTCACCAAAGACACATGAAAGAAGCAGACGACAGATACTCACATGGGAAGATGCTTAATATCACTAGTTACTAGAAAAATGCGAATTAAAGCTACAGTAAGATACCACAACACACCTACAAGAATGACTAAACCCTAAAAGACTGATCATACCAAGGATTGGCAAAGATGTGGAGCGAGTGGTGGTGGGAATGTAAAATGGCACCATCATCTTAGAAAAAAATTAAACAGACTCCCACCATGTGACCCAGCCATTCCCCTCCTGCTTTTCTACATACATAAGAGAAGAGAAAGTGAAGCTTTGTAAGTTGCATCGTGCTCAAAGGTTCAAGGTAGCTTTGTTGGTAGTTGCCCAAACTTGGAAACAACTCAGATGTCTCTCAAGAGGAGAATGTATAGCAAATCGTGGTCAGTCCATACCTTGGAATACTATTCAGAATTAAAAGGAATAGGCTGTCAACACGTAACTACAACATGAATAGATCTCAAAATAATTATGCTGAATGAAAGAAGCCAGATAAAACAGAACACATACGATGAGATTCCATTTATGTCCAAATCTAGGAAATGCAAAGTAACACATAGTGACAGAAAGCTTGGTTGCTGGGGAAGGGAGTGGGTGGAGGGGACCATGAAGGAACATGAGGACAATTTGGGAGTGAGGAATCTGTTATTTTATTTTTATTTTATCTATTTATTTGAGAGGGAGTGAGCAAGAGAGGAGAGCAAAAGCTGGTGGAGGAGCAGAGGAGAGGGAGAAATGGACTCCCCACTGAGCAGGGAGCCCGATGCAGGTCTCAATCCTAAAACCCTGGGATTATGGCCTGAGCCACCCAGGTGCCTCTCTATTGGTTATTTGATAGTGGTTCTACGTATATGTCAGAATGTATCCGATATGAGTAGCGTTGTATGCTGCATTTGGATTACACCTCAGTAAAGCTGTGTGAAATGTAAAGCCCATAGAAGAACGACTTCAGCTCTTTTCCTCAATGGCTGACTACTACCTTCACAGTGACACCCTCCCTCCAGGCAGACAAGCCAATGTCTGCTGTCACTTAGCCTCATAGAACTGGCTCTTAGGGGCTGTCACGTGCCCTTAGGAAAATTGTATCATGTAGCACATTGCAGACATGACGGAAGATTCTGGAACCCCCATGTCACTGGAAATGGATCTCTGTCCATTGGCTTACATCACAGCATGGTACATGTCTCCTCGCTCCCCCTTTTCCCTCCTGTCGGTGTTCTACATCTTCTGGAGGCCTGAGAAGCTTAAGTTCCTAGCTGTCGACCTCAGAGGTCAGATGTTGCAGGTTTCTTTGGCCATTGTGGCTTCACCTTCCTGACCTTTGGGGAGGGGCTGAGACATCTGTCCATGGCTATCAAATAGAATCTCTCTTGCTTTGCCCTACGGCTCCTTCATTCACAAAACTGAGGCATGTGAAGGCCAGTGACTTGTCCCAGACTTTAGATCAAGTTAGCTCAGATACCGTGAGAGCTCGGGTTCCCAAACTCTAGACCTAACTCAAGGGATACCCCCACGTTTTCTCCACCACCCCTGCCCTGTGACCTGTGTCACATGACCCCAGGGCTGCTGGGGGAAGAGAATCCGGCCAGAGCCGTGCCTTCCGGGGCCTGGCAGCTGGCACAGCAGTGGCATAGCGAGCCTCCGCGCAGCCTGACAGGGTCTGCGCTGCTTCCCCATCACGTCCACCCAGTTGCCCTAGTGACTGTGTGACCCTCTCCCCCACCCTGCGCTGCCACCAGTCCTATAAATAGAGCAAGGAGCAGCTGGGCTCTCTTGGCAGTCACCATGAGGACGCTGGTCCTGCTCTGCTGCTTTGTGGCGTCGCTCCTGCTCCCAGGACAAACAGGTATGACCCTCACCCCTGTCATCCAAGCCAGACAGTGACCCCCACGCACGTCAAGGTTTTATGTTAACCGTGGAGGATGAAGGAGGAGGGAGGCTCGAGTGGTAGATGGAGGATGAGGCCTCTGTGATTCCTGTGGTTGATGGCAAACCTTTACTCCTGGCTGGTCTCACCATCGTCTCCCTTCCCTTCTCCCTGGGTCCCAGGAGAAAACTGGGTACAGGGAATCCAAGGGCAGTTGGGGGTTTGTGGGGAGGCCAGAGGAAGTGGGAGCAGTGAACTGAGAGGTGCAGACAGGTGTGAGGCCTGAGCCAAGGGCCAGGAGCCAGAGGGCAGTTCTGCCCCATAGATGCAGGGTAAGAAGACCCCTAAAGTAAGACTATAGGACCCTCCTAGATGGACAAAAGAACCCATTCTGGTGCTGGAGGGTCCCTGGAGGGCTGTGTTGAATTTACCCACCTGGTGGAGATTGGGCAGGGGTCTGGCTTTGCATGACTGAGGACAGAGCACAGTGGACAGAGTTGGGGGTTGTCTGGAGAACGGTGGTGGGATAGAAGAGGGGGTCAGTTTGGTACGGGGTTGGAGATGGAGTTGGGAACTATGCATAGAGTTCAAGAGGGGAGAGGGGTACTCCATAGTATTCCTTTGTTAGCTGGGGGCTTCAGTAGAAGGGGGCTGGGGGCCTGTGTGCATGGTTTTTCCTTTGATATCTCAGCACTTTGTATGGCAGAGGTGGTGGCTTGGGTTACAGCATGGGGGTTATTTATAGGCATAGAGGGGACACCAGACTGTGTGCCATATCTCTCTTCCTGAGACTCCTGGGGTCAGGTCCCCCTTGGGGATGCTTCAGGGGTGAGCTGGAGTGCTCCCCGGAATCTGGGTCTCCTGCTTTGTCTTGTTATGAGTTGGCAGTCTTTATATGCATAGGGGCCCATGGGGTGCAGAGCCCCAGCCTCTCCAACCTTTGAGGTTCTGTTTGTTGAGGTCCCAGCCCCAGCAGCAGGAGCAGGAGGTGGGCAGGAGCAGAAGGTGTTCCCTTGGGGGTTAGGGACCAAGGTAGGGGGCTCCAGCCTCGTGTGTGTCACTGGGCCCTGCCCTTGTCTGCCCTTGAGTTAATTTGGGCCTTGCAGGGCTGCCGTGGCTGGAGCAGTGAGGATTCCAAGCGGCTGTCAGGTGGCTAAGTATGGAAACAGCAGTGTAATTGGATCCTAAGCCTGGAGCCACTGCTGCCTGCTCCCCTTCACAGCCCCAGCTGCCACCTTGCCCCGCTTCCACACAGCAGTCCCAGGGACTTTTAGCCTTTTAGGGACATCCTTCATCTTTCCTCCCAACAAGGGAACTGGACATCTGGAATGTTTCATAGGTCTCACTGGGCGATCCTGCTATGGGGAAAGGAAGCAGGCAGGTGGTTTGTGGGAAGATCCTCTCTCTGCATGCTTTTCTTCCTGGACTCTGCAGTGTGCCCTTGGACTGGCTTCCAGGGAGGGGTTGTCCACTGCGTGCAGGGTTCCCTTTCTCCTCATTCCTGCTCACCACTTGGGCTGTGGGTTCTTCCCCCAGGGTGGATTTTATCACTGCTCCAGCTGTAGTTTATGCTAAAAGATAGCTCTGTCCTGCACCCATTGGGAGGTTCCAACCACAAGGAAGGGGCCTCTCCCTGCCCCTATAATGACAGTCCTTCCTCCTGGTTGATTTCTCCCTACAATTGTGCCACTAAGTAAATGCCCTCTTGCCCAAAGGCAGCAGCTTTGCTGCTGAACTTCCCACCCTACCCCTGGAACCCTCATTTCCATCCTGTGTCTCTTGCTCCTCTATGGATGGCAGGCAGGCTTTCTAATCTACTTCCTGCTTCCTGGGGGTAGAAGAGAGCTGCTCTTCCTTCCTTTGTCCCCATGTAACTCTCTGGACCATGGCAGGCTCTTATTCCTAAGCAAGGGGCCAGATGTGTCTCCTGATACTAGAAACAGCTGGAGCTGCCAGCACCTGATCACTGGGCACGTCCTGAGTCCCCCCACCCCACTCTGGCCTCCAGGCATTTGTGGCTGGAGGGGTCCTCCTGTTTGTCTTGGGGACTTGACCTGGTGACAGGCCTGCTTAGGGACAGGGGAAGGCAACCTTGAGTTGGTTTACTTTGTACCCTCATTGTGGAGGTAAGGGCAAAAGCCAGAGGAATGAGAGACATACACAAGGGGAGGGCCGCAAATTATGTATAGGCACATCAGCTCAGGGCCAACTCCCCCCACCACAGAGTTCCTGTCCTCCCCTCAGCCTCTCTTTTTCCAACAGCCACCTAACTCCCTCTGCCTTGGGGAGGCCGCTTTTGGGGAGCTTTCCTCCAGATGCCTCTCATCCTTGGACTCCTTTGAGAATGGGATGGGATAGGGGTGTGGGGAAGTGGCCAGCTCTGATAAATCATCTGAGCTCAAGCTGTTGGTGGTGTTGGGCTGGATTTGGGACATTTTTGCTTCCTGTTGCCTGCTTGATGCAGAGATTGGGGCAGATGGGGATTCTGAGTCTGTTCATCCCTCTCCAGCCCAGCCCTGGTTTACAGACTCACGCCTGCTCTGGCCTCCACCCTGCCGTCACAGTGGCGACAAGTCGTGCACGCTGGGGCTGACCCATTCCTCCATGAGAGATGAGGGTCGGACAGGAACCCCTTTGTGGCCCTCCTCACCCACCCCAGGCTGGTTATTTCCATAAAGATGCTGCGTCCATGTTCCCTCAACAGGCAGCCCAGCTGCCGTGACCCACCCTGAGGAGGGCTGGTGAGAGAAGGTCATGAGTTCAGGGATCTTGAGAGGACAGAAGCCTTCGCAGCCCTCTTGCAAGCTGTGTCTCCAGTGGTGTCCTGGATTCCTGGCCCAGTGTAGCTGGATGAGCCCCTAGGGAGCATCTAGTCTGCCCCTTCCCACATCGAGTCTACGAAGCACTCACTGGACTTGCCAGTGGATGTGCTCACCTTGCTTGGTGGCCTGTAGAACCAGAGTTTGGGAAATGCTGGTTTTGTCCCACATATGGGTGTGACAGTGGAAGTCAAACAACTAGTTCAAGACAGGGCCAGAGCTGGAATTCAGGTCTCCTTGCTCCTGCAGAAGGAGGTCCAGTTGAGGCCAGCTGCATCCCCCTGGTCATTTGGTGCCCATTTTGGTGTGGTGGGCTGGGAAGGGGACAGGAGGAAGACGGCTCTTCCTCTTTGGCAGGGTCCCAGGGCCAAGGGCAGGGTCTAGGCGCCGTGCCCCCTGGCCTGGAATGAAGGTGCAGCTGGGACACTGGGCAGGGGTGGGGTCTGCTGCTGTGGGATGCTGCGCTTTGCTCTCTCCTGGACACCTGCCCCACTCCAGATCCAAATCCAGACCCACTCATGGCACAAACCCTTATATTTAAATGTTGCTTGAGTGCAAAGCCTTTCATTCAAACACTGCGCCACATCTCACCATGTATTAATCATCTCATATTTATCGAGTACCTCCTAGCGTTTAGGTGTGGTAGTGGGGGAATCCAGATGGGCATTTTGTCTATGATTACCAGCCAGTATAAGAGATAGGCCATCTTCCACCTCGTGGCTGCACGCACACAGGTAGGACCTGTGTGAGTGTCATGAGGGAGGTACGGGTAAAGCGAGGTGGGGTGGAAGGGCATGGGGAGATTATTTTTAGCCAAGTGGATCAGGAAATGTCTTACAGATAAGGGGATATTTGAGATGGATCTTGAAGAAAGTAGCATTCAAACATGGAATGATTGAAGGAAGAGAATTCCACGTAAGGAGCAGGATGAGTGAATTCATGCCATCAGGAAAGTTTGGGGCTCTGGTGAGAAGCAGGCAGGGAGAAGGGCAGGCAGAGTGAAGTGAGAGTCTTGGGGAAGCGATTTGGAAGGCTGATTGGGCCACCCGTGAGGGGCCTCGCATGCTCTGCTGCCAGGGTAGTTTTGCGCTTTGGGTGGAGGGCAACCACTGAGGGCTTGGGAAGCAATCCTTCTGGCAGGTGTTTGTGGGGAGGAAGAGCACGAGGGAGGCTGATCAGAGGACCCTGTCAGAAATGCAGGTTAGAGGGTATGAGCTCCCCAAGGGAGTGGGGGCGGGGCGGAGAGGAGAGGCAGACCCAGCAGGTAGCTGCGGTGGAATTTACTGTACTTCTGCCAGAAGGAGCCCTCCCAGATCTAGTGTAGGTTGCTGGAGGCGTGATCTTGACAGAAAGGGAAAAAAAAAAAAGACCAGGAACATAAAAGAACAGATTTTAAAAGTTCATTATGAATCCTTATGAATTTGGAGTTGTTATGAATTTGGGGTGCCATGGGTACACATGGGTACATATGGATGGAGATACTGGATATTGGAGGATTAAAAGTTAGGTGTGGAGGTCCAGAGATGAGATCCGGTGGGTGAAGATGATGCTGTGAGGTCATGATGGAAGCTGTTGCAGGGAGAGAAAAGAGATGCAGGGATGGTCCCTGGGCAGCATTAGGTTGGGGAGGGGGAAGAGGATGACCTAAGAAGGGAAGGGCACATTCTAGAAGGGTAGTCAACAAGATGTAATGCTGTAGAGATGCTGAGGAAGATGAGGCATTGGCTTTGATACCTCGGAGGTCACTGGCAGAGTACGAGGGCCTGATGTGCATCTAGTGAGGGTGTGCAGGTGATGCATTTGGGCAGTGAGCTCAGGAGGGATAGAGGACACGTAAGAACACAAGGGCAGGGGGTTTGCCAAGGTAGCAAATTTCCTTTTCAACATTACAAAGGCCAAGTATGTTTATGGGCTGATGGGGAAGGATTTAGGAGAGAGGACTGGAAGACACAAGGTGGAGAGGGAGTGACCAAGATGTCAGATGTGTGGGGAGCATAGGGTAGGTCTTAGGAGACACCTGCCATGGGATCATGGAGGCCTCAGAGGGACACTGCACATTCAGGGTCAACTCAGGAGCTGTGATGCCAGCCAGGGAGCTAAACTAGGGGGTAGGGATCGTGGGCTGCCCTGGGATTGCTTTGGAGGGCCACTGGGTGGGGT